TAAACAGCGTATGCTGTTCTGTGTCAGCTGCGTCACGCCGGATCTGTTTCCTATGTTGTTGTGATTTGATCTGAACAGAAACACTGTATCCGTGTGACGCAGCTGACACACAACAGCATACGCTGTTAGTGAATTATTGTTTTTATAATTATAATACAAATGGTGAAATAAACAAAAAAAAACATAATATTTGTTGAGTGAAAGCAGTTACTACTGTCCCTAGTTATCATTAGTTATGATGTCACGTCCACCACAACAAACAATTTTGCGATTTTGTGCATATAATGAATTTGAAAAGTTAGTGTTTGTTTACCAAGACAGTGTCACTGAAGAGTGTGAATTACAATTAAAATCAGACATGTGATGTGTAAAAAACAAAGAAAATTCTGGTAAATACTACTTGTGGATATATATAGGCTATTTTAGTGTGCGTAATTTTCAGTTATGCAAAAATAATCCAAAAAGTATGAAAACATTTTAAGTGTGTGTTTATAGCAAAGGACATAACCCAGTCAACAATTTGATCTCACAATGATGTCACCATGAGCTCACATGATTCTCATGGTGTGGTCACAATGTGTGTGTCACAGTGAGCTAAAAGTGTAACCACACAGCGCACTCACTGTGTGCTCATACTGTGGTCACAATGTGAGGTCACTGCACACTCACTGTGCGCTCATATCACCTATTACTCACACCGTGAGGATCACAGTATGAGGATCGTTTGAGTTCACAATGAGCTCACCTATTACTCACGCTGTGAGGATCACAGTATGAGGATCGATTGAACTCACAATGAGCTCACCTATTACTCACACTGTGAGGATCACAGTATGAGGATCGTTTGAGTTCATAATGAGCTCACCTATTACTCACACCGTGAGGATCACAGTATGAGGATAGTTTGAGTTCACAATGAGCTCCCCTATTACTCACACTGTGAGGGTCACAGTATGAGGATCGTTTGAACTCACAATGTTTTCATATACTACTCACACCGTGAGGATCACAGTATGAGGATCGTGTGATGTCACTGTGATCATCGCATGATCTCGCGTGTTGACTGGGAACACACTAGCTTTGAAATGCCAAAACAAAAGCAGTCCGTTGTTTTATGACAAAAAAATGTAATTAAATTAAATTTCCATCACATGCTGTAAAAAAACAACAACAGAATTTCAGATGTGCTGGAAATGATAAGTTAAAAAAAAAAGACAAAGTTCTTTGGAATGTAGCCTATGCACATTGTTGGAGGGTGTGTAAAGTTTCCACAAAGTCTCGCTAGGTATTTTGTGTACTAGGCTAGTCCAGTTTCACAATTATTATCTGGGGCCTGTTTCATAAAACAAATTTACCAAATAAGCCAGGTTTATTTCAGTTAGTCTGACTTAATGTCCGCTGATTTGGTTCTAAATCAGACTAACTGAAATAAGCCTGGTTTATTTGGTAAACTTGTTTTATGAAACAGGCCCCTGATCTGAAACCAAAGGAAAATAACAGTTGAAAGTTAAGCCAGTTTGGGGAGCTGGAGTCCTTGACCTGCCATAGCTCTGTTTGCCATGCGCATATCAACACGGACAAGTTTTATTTTTAGACATCTGCTCCAGATGATTTAATAGTGACTGTACACAGAGACGTCATGCCCATACAAAGTGAAGGGGCACGTACCTCCTCAGATTTTTGAGCCAAGTGGATTTTGAATGCAGCTTTCAAAAGACAAAATAGCCATTAATATGTTCTATATTGAATTCAATCACACCTGCGTGATTAGAACGTTCAGTGCTTCATATCATCAGCTGCTAAATTCAA